TTTACACATGAGCAAACTAAGCCTTAGAGGTCCGATGGAGATGGAAGTTAAAATCAAGTCTATCTGGTTTTGAAGCCCATGCTCTTTCTTTCTTCCTTCTTCTTTTCCTTTTTTTATTTTTTTTAAAAAAGCTTATTACTAAACTCATACATTTATACATTAAAAAGAGAAATTGTTCTACATGACTTACTAAAAACAACAGTATCTCTCCGCTATGCTCACCCAATTTTCTGCTCCCCAGAGGCAACACTTTTGAATTGCTTTAACTAATTCTTCTGATATTTAACGTGCTTCTGTAACTATCATACTCATGGCCACAGATAATGATTAGGCATGTTCCACCATTCCAGTCCTAACCCCACCACAAACATGTGCTCCCGAAAGAATGATACTGTAATTTTAGTTAGATCAATATTCAGTATTTACTTTTAATAATACTCAGTATTTATTTTTATTATGTAAATAATATTCACAGTTAAGGGATATAATTCCCTAAACGATCTACTTTATTCTAGGGGATTTTTAAAATTTGCTCATAAAAACTGATTTTTCATTTGCTCATTTTCTATATACAATTCACCTCCACGTGTTTCCCCATTTCTATCAACTCTCAATACATTCAAATATATTAGGTACTTTCTCAGTTTCATCTTATTGAAAAAAATCTCTCCCAGAGCCTTCTAACTTGCTCCAATTTGGAGTGGTTTCCCTCATTGCTTGCTGTGCAGTTGTTATTTGAAAAGCTACTTTCATCATAACAGAGATTCCTTTTGTCTCTTTTGTTTCATAACATGTCTTTTGGTATGGGTCTGTTTTCATTACGTTGGGCACTCAGTGGCATCTTCGAATGTGGAAAATCATGTCCTTCAGTTCCGTAAAATTTGGCTGAATTATTTTATTAATAATTTATCCTCCATTTTCTTGGTTCTATCTTTCCAAAGTTCCTACCATTGGGTCACTGGATCTCCTGAATGGAGCTTCTAATATTCCCATCTCTTCCATTTCTTCATTTTTTGCTCAACGTTCTGAGATATGTCCTCAACTTTCCTTCTGATTCTTGAGTTGCTCATTTATGTTATCATATTTTTAATTTTCAAAAGCTCTTTTTATTATGAATGTTTCTCTTTCACGCACCATTTGGTTTCATGAATACAATTGTATTTGTTATGCAGAAGGTCTGCTGATAGTTATAGTTGTCTATCTTGAAGTGTTCTATTCCCTGCATAGTTGATTTCTTCCAAGTTGTATTTTATCTGTTAGTTTTGGTTTCAATATAAGGTATTTCCTCAAATGTATGGTGATCAGTGGTATGTGATTAATATTTAAAGTAGGGTTAAAAAAAAAAAAAAAAGGCTGCTTGGAAGCTCTAATGTGCCTTGGTGGGGCTACTAAAGTATGGTCTTCCTTATAGGGTTATCTGGTTGGTTGACTTTGCAGGGAGAGCTCCTGATAGTAAACTCTTTGAACCATTTGCTCAGAGGGTATGGGAAATGAAGAAGGCTGGGAAATCTTAACATTCTGTATGTAAACAGTCATTAAATCCCTATGTTCCAAATATGTGCCCCAGCCCTCAATTTTACCTAGTAAACTCTAGATCCAGAGATACTCTGTTTTATACTTTCCAGATAATAAATTTCTTGTTCTGCTATATTTAGGGAAGGTCAACCAGTTAGATGTATCTTTCTCAGCTTTACTCAGCTGGATTAGGATTTGGCTTTCTCGTATGTATTAACATATTTAAAATTTAAAGTCCATTTATTTTTTGGATTCCATAGTTTTATTGCAGTTGTCTTCACTTCTGAGTTTTTTTGAAGGGGAGAACAGTCCTTTGTAGATTTTGTCATTTTAGTAATTGTGGGGGAGGATGTGGAAATTAAATATACATAATCTATTATTTCCAGATGTATGTTCGTCTACTGTGTTATATCTTATTTCTCAGTATTTGATTTCCAGTATTATCTGCTCTGGATTTGGGTTACCTTAAATTATACCTCTACAGTCAGTGAAAAAGTGGTCTTTAATATGGTTATGAACCAGAAAAATTTCAACATAATCTTGTAAGTTTTCAGTGAGGCCCAAATGCTTATACAACATAATGAGGGACAAAGATATTTATTTGAAAAATAAAAATTCCATAAGCTCTCTTAAAGAGAAAAGAATTATCTCCTGAAAGTTCTTTTCGGTTCCATTTCTAAAATACTTACCTCAGAACAGAATCCAAGTCCAAAGCTTGCATCTATTTAGTCTCATCTAAGTAACACTAAATCTTATTTAGTCTCAGCCTCTTTTACAACAAAATACCATAAGTCATATAACGATTTGGAGACTTTCCCCAAATCATACTGCTAAGTATAGAGGGAGATAAAGCTCATTATATTGAAAGGAACCAGTATGTGCCACCCCAAAGTATTCCTCTCTGAGATAAATATTTTTAAGCTAAAGGCAATTAAGAAGTAGATGCAGAAAAGCTCTCTACCCTACTGTTCCCCTAAAAGCAGGATATAAATTTGTAAAGGTGTTCTTTCTTCCCTCTCTACCAACAAGGACAGAAGTTAATCACTGGAGACAGTGTAGACCTTTATCAGCTAAAAATGACATCAGAGGAATCTACTAACTTTACTCCATTAGTTTCCCCATAAATTTACCATCCCACAGTTTTGTCACCTTTGGAAGCCTGAAACTGCTTATCTTTGTCTTGTCACTTCTCTAAAATTTATTGTTCATTGTTGAAGACAATATATAAGTCAGATTCCTAAACCACTGTTTTGAGTTACTTTTCCTCTGTATGATGTGCATGTACTATATGCACTAACTTGCGTATTTTTCTCTTGTTAATCTGTCTTTTGTTACAGGATTCTGTCCCAACCATGAACTTACGAGGGTTGAGGGAAATTTTTCTTCTCTTCTCTTCAATACATATCTGAACTACTATGTGCCTATAAACAGTAGGTACTTACCATTTCTTGAAAAACTGGTAAATAAGCTTAATTTCAAAAGTGGCCTATCAATTCCGGTTTTTTAAAAAAGCTCAGTACTTAACTATAGTCAATTATCAAATAAAACTATATTACCCCTATTAACTCTATGTATACTTTATACCTTATATCTGAATCTGAAGCCTTCTGTCTCACTGCCAACTTGGTAATCTCTCCTTGAGACATAGTCTTATGAAGCTTTGCTTGTTCATCAACTGATGAAAATCGCTGTGATGTCTGTAATAATTACATATGTGAAAGATTTAATGCCAAGTAAATATATGATAGCATTGTAATTAAAATTCAGGTTATAGAATTACTTGAGCTATTTAAAAGCACACAAAAACATTCATATTATTCAGAGATTCATTGAAATAATAGAGCCTACTGAAAACTCTATATAAAGTAATCTGAAATAAAGAAGACTTGGTCAATGAAATAAACAGGATCTACCAGTTCATATTTTCTGACAATTTAAAAAGGAATCTCAAGTGGAGAGGCAAGAAAGTGAAAACCATTTAAAGATATAGAGAAAAGATGCAGGATCTAATAAATCTAGAGTGCTAACTATTGTTTTTCAAATCTCCTTTTATTTATCCCAAAAGGTGGCTATTACTTTTATGGCTTAATTTGCTATTATAAATTCTTCATGTATCTAATCAATAATTTAAAAGAGATGGAATATACAATGATTTTTAAAGAGCCAAAAGACGAAAGAATAAAGGCTCATTACCATCATTAATGGTCTAAATTATAAACAACTTATAAGGCTATCAAACTGTGACCTGATTTTTAATCGGCAGTTCTTGTTCCATTTGTTTAAAATGTGTCCCTCTAAAGACAATCCTGTCCTGAGGAGAGAATTTCTTGTTATCTATTCAAGTCATTTCCTAATATTTCATTTTTCTGTAGTTATAATATTCTTTCTTTAGTCTTTTGGACTGCGTGACTATGGCCTTATTAACAGAAAGAGGAAATACCCTAAGTTGGCAAAGATGAAGTAATAGGGATCTAGTCTACCCTCTTACATGAAACCAACAAAAAACTCAGACAAAATAATATGAAACCGCAATGTTTAAAACAATGGACAGATATCCCTGACAGATGGGGAAAAAAGGAAGTATGTCCTACACTTGTCCCAT